GACAGCAGCAGCAGCAGCAGCAGCAGAAACAGCAGCAGCAGCAGCAACAGCAGCAGCAGCAGCAAGAAACACAACTGTTGAATCAACACCTTCGTCAGAACTTGAGCAGCAGTTGCTGCTGCTGCATGCAGCAGCACGGCAGCACTGCAGCAGCAGGAAGAGCAGCAGACCTATTAGTCCTAAGGAATTCCTTTCTTTGCTGAAGGCGCCGCAGCAGCTTCTGCTGCAACAACTGCAGCAGCAGCAGCAACAGCAACAGCAGCAGCAGCAGGAACAGCAGCAGCTGCAGCTAGAGCAGCTTGTCCAGCTGCTGCAGAGCCTCTCCCGCTTATCCAGGCCGTACAGACACTTGCTGCAGCAGCAGCCGCTGCTGCTGCCGCAGCACCTGCTGCTGCAGCGGGGTCTTCGTTGGCACTCAAAGGGGGGGCGAGAAGCAGCAGCAGCAGCAGAATCTGCAACAGGAGCAGCAGCAGCAGCAGCAGCAGCAGCAAAGCAGGGACCTGGTAGTGCAGCAGCAGCGGAGGGACCGACATGCAAAACCCAGCAGTTGGAGAGCCCATTAGTTGCAGCAGCAGCAGCAGCAGCAGCAGCAAACACTGCAGGAGCAGCAGAAACAAGTGCAGCAGCAGCAGCAACAGCAGCAACAACAGCACTTGCTGCAGTACAATCTGCTGCTATTAAGGAAGCAAATCAAGATGCACGACGTGTACATACACCTGCTGCTGCAGCGCAGCAGCTGCTGCGGCTTGTACGGCAGGTGCTGCTGCTGTCTCTCAGGTTGCTGCAGCAGCAGCAGCAACACCAGCAGCAGCAGCAGCAGAATTCACCTCACCGTTTGCTGCTGCAGCAAGATGGCCAGAGGGTGCATAGAAATGATCAAATGATTTCGGGTAGTCAGCAGCAGCAGCAGCAGCAGCAGCAACTGCTGCTGCTGCAGCTGTTGCAGCAGCTGCGGTGTATGGGCATCTGCTGCCCTGATTTTATATTTGCTGCTGCTGCGCTGCTGCAGCAGCAGCATAGTTTGCTGCTGCCGCAGCAGCAGCTAGTGCAGCTGCTCGACAGTTTTGCTGCAGCATTCGTCTGCATGCGGCAGCAAACTGCAGCAGCTGCAGCAGCAACAACAGCACCACCAAACAGTGCTGCTTACAATGCTGCTGCTGCAGCACCTGCTGTTGCTGCTGCCGCTGCTGCTGCTGCTGCTGCTGCTGCTGTGCAGGGCCTATTCAGGAAGGTAGCTCGCCAGTTGAACTATCGCTTCCGTATGGATGCGCAGCACCGCCGGCGGCTGCGGCAGCAGCAGCAGCAGCAGGACGAACAGCAGCAAGAGCTGCAGCAAGAACAGCAACAGGGACAGCAGCAACAGCAGCAGCAGCTGCTGCTGCATGCAGGAGAACTTGCGCAGCTGCTTCGAGCTTTTGCCCGTGTAGGGGTTGTTGATTTTGGGGTGTATAGGCACCTCACATCTACCTACCTAACAAGGGCGCTGCAGCAGCAGCAGCAGCACCAACAGCAGCAGCAGCAGCAAGTGTTGCAGCAACAGCAGCAGCCTGTGGAGGACGGTCGCACCTCCTGCAGGCAACTTAGTCTTCTGTTTGCTGCTTGTGTAGATGCTATTGCAGCAGCAGCAGCAGCAGCAGATCCAGCAGCAGCACGCGTATCCGTACCAGCAGCAGCAGGAGCAGCAGGAGCAGCAGCGGAGCAGGTAGCAGCTGTACACCGAAGACTAGCTGCTTCAAGGGAGTGGGAAGCAGATCCAGCAGCAGCAGCAGCAGATCCAGCAGCAGCAGCAGCAGATCCAGCAGCAGCAGCAGCGGATGCAGCAGACGTAGAAGCAGCAGCAGCATCAGATCCAACAGCAGCAGCAGCAGCAGCAGCAGCAGCAGCAACATTAACGTCTAGCCCTTCACCGTTTGTGCTGCTGCTGTCGCGGTGCCTTGCCCCTTTATGTAGCAGCCTCAGCAGCAACCTGCTGCTGCTGCAGCAGCAGCAGACACACGCAGAAGCTGTGCTCGTGCTGCGGTCTGCGTGTCAGCTGCTGTTGCTGCTGCAGCAGCAGCAACAGCAGCAACTGCAGCAGGTGTATACACTCGGCTTGGCGCTGCAGCAGAAATACGTCAAGAGGGCTAAAGACACAGAGGACCGGGCTGCAGCAGCAGCAGCAACAGCAGCAACAACATCAGCAGCAGCAGCAGGGACAGAAGAAGAAGCAGCGGCAACCGAAGCAACAGCTGCAGCAGCAACAACAACAACAACAGCAGCAGCACATTTGGTGCATCTGCGGTGTCTAGGCAGCTTACGGCCTCTCTTAGAGGGATTAACAATTAGGGTGTCTTCTTGCTGCTATCTGCTGCCGCTGCAGCAAATTGTACAGCTGCTGCTGCTGCTGCAGTGCGTTGACACCTTTGCTGCTGCTGTTGCTGCTGCTGCTGCTGGTTCTAATGCAGCAGCAGCAGCAGCAGCAGCAGCACCGCTTGCACCCCTTATGCTGAGTAGACCCGCT